AGTTGGCATTGTACTTGAATTAACAGCCATATTTTTCTAGAAATGTTGAACTTAATTTTTTCCCATTTGTATGGGGGTAACGCACTGTATTAAATACGTAAGGTCTTAAAAAAAAAAAAGAAGGGATTTTGAGAGCCCATCCCATATGAAGAGATGCTCTCTTGACCTGGACACATGGGGAAGGGCCTAGGCCTGGCCCAGGATGATGTGGTAGACTTTGGGGAGCCCCTTTTGAGGGCCTTACCCTGCCTGGGGAGTGGAGGGGGGATGGCTAGGGGCAGGTGGGAGGTTGGGGAGGAGGGGAGGGAGAGGGAGAAGGAATTGACATCTGAAGCAAGCTTCTAATTTGAACTAATAAAATAAAATAAAAATTAAAACAAAAAAGAGTTAGGGAGAGGGAAGTGGCACGGGAGACAATGAGGAGGCAGGGGACTCAGGGACAGAAACAAAAAGCTGTGCTGTGCAAGTGACTACAATGGAGGGTGCTCTGGACCAATGCAATGGTCAACCAAAGGTCATCCTCAGACCCGAGTAGTGAGTAGGAAACCTGGAAGACTGACCTTCCCTTCTGAAACTCCGATCTTGCGTGGCTCTATCCTCACTGGCACGGTGACATGCAGACATATCCCTTCGGAATCTGCAGCAAAATACAGAACGCATCTTTCGTTGTTTGGGGTTTTGAATTTTGTTTGCTTTGGTTTCCTGATCATAATACTCCCATTCCAGCCAGCGTTCCTGAGCACACTCAGAGCTCCAGTAAGGCCAACGAACTTGCTTGTAATAAACCCCCTCTCTTCCTCAATGCACAACTTCCAATGGCATGCTAACGACCCACTGAAATGATTTAGATATACACAAAAGACACAACGTTCAACCTGGCCACCCTGTTCCTCCTCAGAATCATGCTGAGGCCGGAGTCTCTCAGGGATCTGGGGAGCAATCAGAGAGGGTGCTGATGGTGCACAAGCACTGCACCCCACTTCCCAGGATACAGGGAACTCGAAAGACTAGTTGGATTTCCTGCTGTTAGTCCAGACAGGAATACAGAGCAGAAGCCATCATGTTTATCCTGGGTTCACCTGGTTCGGGCTGGGGCGGGGTATGGGGTGGGACCTGGAGTGGGGCCAGAGATGGGGCAAGATGGAGGAAGGGCATCAGCAGGAATCCAGGAGCACAATGATATCCTCTCTCAGCTAAGGCAACGCAAAATGGAAGGAGTGAGATGCTCTCAGGGCCTTACCGAGGTGGCCTAACAGCATGGCAAACTAGGCGAGTATGAAAAGCAGAGGCATGGTTGAATGGGAGAGCAGAAAGCACAGGTGAGCTCAAGACGGTTGGCAGCCGAGGTGGCAGGTGGGCAGCGTGGGAGACCGCCCACCAAGGGCTCGCCCAAGGTTCAGTGCCTCCACCTGGCACAGGACAGACAATAGCTTCTAGCTCAGGCCCTTACAGAAGGCACAAAAGTACAAACAAGCATAGCTCGTCTTGCTTGGTTATTTCTGTCCTCTCCACAGTTTTCTGGCATTTTTCTTGTATTGTGATGGAGGATGTAAAGCAAGCTAGAAATGCGCCTATTAATTATCAACGTGACAAATAGGTAAACTGAACTTGATCTTGGCAAAGCAATCATGAAGCTTAAAGCACCCCTCTCCGGTCTTCCTTAGGGTACTAGCTTAAAATTGGGAGTCGGGAAGGGAGGAAGGCTGTCTTACAATGTCACTTATGCGTGTTTTGTTAATGGTGGCTATCACTGTAACAAAACACGAACAAAAGCAACATGAGTCCAGGAACTGTAGGCAACAACTGATGCAGAGACCATGGAGGTGTGCTGCTTACTGGCTTGTTTTCCATGGATTGCTCAGCTTATTTTCTTATACCTCGTACAACAACCTGTTCGGGAGTGGCAATGCCCACAGTGAGCTGGGTCTTTCCACCAATCGTCAACCAAGAAAATGTACCACAGGTTCCCACAGGCCAATCTGATGGATTTTCTCAGTTGAGAGCCCCTCTTCCCATACAACCCTCACTTGAGTCAAATGGACATAAAATTAGCCAACCCAGTTAGCCGGTACACTTAGAAAACTGTAGACATGGGAAGGGCAAGCCAGGGCCTATGGAACAAGGGATGTTCTACTGCCTTCTGCATTCCCAAGAATGTCGAACTCCATCTCTCCTGCATCATCCATGGTGCTCTGACACCTGTCACAGCAGCACACCCTACTGGGTGGAGTAAGGAGGCCCACAGACACAAAAATAACAAGCTTTAGGCCACTGTGAAAACTGAGTCAGGTAGAAACTGCTAATAACTATTACTAAAATAAGGCAGAGCTGTAGTTACCAGGATCCAATATTTGTGGCAGTGAGGAAATAGGAAATGTATAGTTATAAAATTTTGTGTCTTCTGAACATTTGTGTTTTGTTATAATTCATATTCTACATGATTCATGCATTTGCAGTGTAGAAATGTGTGGTGTTAAAACATCTGTGAATATGTATAGTCATTAACTGTGACTTTTAGAATTTATTACCCCCTAGATAATCACTGTGTCTTATAGACTTTACCCCTGCATTATTTCCTCATCTCCAGCTACTAGGAGCCCTAAATTGTTTATTAGTTGTAAACTAATTCTTGCCTTTCCAAATGTGTGACACCTGACCTATCTGATTGGCTTTTCAGCATGATGACTTCAGGGTTCACCCAATCTATAGTGATATCTTTTAGTGATATAGTGGTCTGTTCTTTTAAAGGCTTTAAAATACTGTGCTGAGTGGATTTCCACACTTATCCATTATCAGCTGGGGGGGGCATTTGAAAAAGGAGAATTTGGGTCTCTGGAATGAAGCTTGGATCATCTTTGCTTCTGTCAAAGGCTCTGGTCACGATCAAACTTGTGTTGATGAGCACTGCACTAACTCAGGAATAATGTTGAAGATGTGGAGATGTACTCTTAACCTAAACTAAGAGGGGAATCGGACCATGAAGGCTGCAACAGGAGAATCACACAAAGAAAGCCCAGTGTCAGCAAGCATGCAGCTTACCACATGTTAGGAACAAAGTTTCAACTCAGACTACAGACACACAATTCAACCCAAGACTAGGTTGGTGAAGCAGCTAGTGTTTTGGAGTTACTTGCAGGACCAAGTCAGATGCATCAAGCAGAAAGCCCATCTGTGTGAGCTTGGTCATTATCCATGAAAGATACACCCCTAGAACTCTGTGCCTGGCTTACAGGCAGCTGAAGAGAACCCTCCTGTGCTCAACAATCATAGGGGGAGGAGGGATCTGAGCCTTACCTTACAACTTCTGAAAGTGAGCTTCCTGAGTCATGGATCTTTCCATCAAGAGGAATGTTTCAATGCAGAAATAGCCACAAAACACCAAATTTCATGAAATACCCTAAATCTCAGTGTTTAGGGGGTCATAGGGCCACTGTCAATACCTCTGATCAGGAACTCAGTCTAGGAAATTCCTTTTTAAAAGAGAAAGGACTCTAGTGACTATTTGGGACCTACAGGAAGTTCTCCCACTCATCAAACCTCCCTCTGGGCATCCAAAACTTGACATTATAGAGCAGGCAGGTGACTGGAGAGGAATAGGTTGTAGTGCTTGCTTGCTCTTGGCTTTGAGCACAAGGATGGTAGTAGCAGTAGATAATGTTCTCATGTTAGAATGTTTATCTCCCTGGCTCAGAGGGAAGAATCAACAGGCACAAGTCTGTATACTTTCAGCTACAGGTTTTATTTGGAGGTATGTAAAACTGAAATCTGTAAGTCATAGAAAAAGAAATGCCTGGTCCATATTCTTGGATAAGACCACATAAGAGTGAGTTTCTTGTCCTTTTTCCATTGTGGCTTTGATGTTGTGTAACTGCTTTTGGGGAAAAAAACAACACAGGAAGTAGAAAAGCTTCATTCTCATCATTATTCTCATCATTATAAAAATCTTATTATTAAAAAGCTATGCAATTCATACTATGCAACTATAGGTATAGAAATTTCATAAATTAACATAATAACATAACAAAGTACATGACTGGCCTTCTCTGTCTATGATCCATAAAATTCATTAAACTAGTTTTTTTTTTTCTCAGTTCACTTTGTTCTGTATGTAACTAGTTTGCAATGGCTGAATGGAAAGGGCATGTTGTAGGATGGGCTTTACCTGCTTCAGCTGCATTTCATAAACTTTACATGAGTAAAAGAAAAAAATTCCAGAATGTAAGTCCCTATTCCTGAAGACTCCATGCTCTTCAGACACAAAGCCCAAAGGCCCCTGAAGCAGAACTGACTTGAATACTCCCTTCTTGAGGACTGGCCTTCATAGTATCAAAAGGCACCATGCACCTTCCAAAGGAAGGAATCAACCAACACCCCTACCCAGCTGTGAAGCCCATGAATGATAACACTAGCATGGCACAGTGACCCTCAGAGAGCAATAGTGGCATGCATACCTTGGTGGTAACCAACAACTCTCTAACTGGACTTAAGACTCCCTCAACAAGAGGGAAATCATGTCTGATACTTGAAACCTAGCCAACTACCTAGGACTGGTTAAGTCATGGATCTTGGAAAAGAATCTAGAACCAACATTTTACTAAACCAGCATTATCCCTAACTACATTTCAAATATCCGTCCTTATACCCACAGGTGAGTATAGCCCTTACCCCTCAGCAATGAAGCTTCTCCTTACAACAAAGACTATCATAGACAACCACAACCAATCAAAATGCAGAGTTGGGGAGTCTAGTCCTGTTGAATACATCTACAGAACACTCCCTTGCTCAGGGAACACTGTAGGACAGGGGACAGAAAGACTGTAAGAACCAAAGGACCCCCAGGGAGTTTGCTGTTGAGACTGTGTCTCCTAGTGGTGTCAGAAGCTACATGCATAAACACCCCACTAACAGGATTTCCTAGACATGAGCTGCAGGAAGACAACAGTAGACATGCCAAAGTAGGTGAGGGAAAGCTCAGGAGGCCACAGCCCTACACAAAGAACTATAGGTAACCAAGGGAAGCTGAGAGCAGGACAAACAGCCTCACCTGGGGAAGAGCACATTAAGTGATTATCTGATATTAATGGCCAGCCCTGAAATAATACATACAAGGGATGATGTGCAGACGGAACATGCAAAAATTAATGAAGAAAGAGACTGAATTTCAAAGAGCAAGGAGGGGTTTATGGGAGAGCTAGGAGGGAGGGAAGGGAAGGGGGTAGTGATGTAACTATTACAATATATATTTTTAAAAAAGCACTAACTTTAAAAAAAGAAAAACATCGACAGGAAACAGAAGCAATGCAGAACTCAGTCTTTTCCAACTTGATAAAAAAGTGTTTCCCAACCCCCTGTGCACATCACCAGCGCTGCCTCACCTACAAAGTATCAAAGGTCAAACTCACCATCCCAAAATACACACAGACATTACCACTCAAATATCTACATATGGCTCTTACTGTGTGTAGTACTTTGTCATTATGAAAGTGTCACTATCCAATCTGCCCTCAATTTTGAGGTCTTTTATCGTATCTCTTTCACTCTGGCTCGGCCATGTCTTTACTCTATTCCACCTGTCATCTCCCAAAAATGTTCTGTTGTTTTTTCCTGTGACCCAGACTTGCCCTTTTCAGACCTTTAGAGTGTGGTCAACAGGCTTCCTCCTGGTTCACTATTCTCCCAGTGTCTCCATTTATTTTTCCTACCTTATGCCAAGGAATTTATAAAATAAATATTACATCTGGCCAAATCCTGCTCTCATTGCTTCAGAAATATTTTGACTGAACCCCTATTCAAGTGTGGATAAATGAAGTCTCTTATCATGTCATCCTAAAGCCTGTCTATGATTGGTTTGTGTGTGGTTTTTGTATATTTTCTCTCTTAGTATTCATAGACTCAGAAACCCATTTTTAGAAGAATATTAAGAGAACAAACTATGGATACACAGAGACAGAGAAGGTTTGTATCCAATACTTAGGAAATTATTATTTTTTCTACTTTTTTTAGTTCTTGTTTGTTCTTACAGTGGTGATGCTCTCTTTCTGTTGTATGTCAACAAATATTATTTTATCAGTGTTTCTTTTTTTCTTTTTCCTTTTTTTTTTGGGTTACTCTTTGTAGCCCTGGCTGTCCTGGAACTTGCCTCTACCTCCTCTGAGTGTTGGGATTAAAGGATAGTACTACCACCACCCAGTTTATCAGTGTTTCTTAAGGAAATACATTCATTCACTTTCAAAATTTCTCCAGGAGCTATCCTTCCCCACCCCTAGTCTGAAACACTAGGGAAGCATCTACACTTCTACCCCTAGTAGACTATTCCTAAAGCAAAATGAGACAACCCTCTTTGAGCATTTAAAGCAGAAGTTTGCAATCTCAGTGGCACAGTGTTTCTTGCCTTTTATTCAGAGTGAGAGAGATGTGGTCTCCAAGGGCCCTGCTGAGATTTTCTTTTCTGGTTTTAGTAATCCTATCTGCTGCATGACTTCCAACTCTGTCATCCTTGCCAGTAACAAAGCAATCCAGTTTCTGTTCTCTTCTGCCATATTCATGTGCTAGAAAGTTACCCCTTAAAATGTGCACACATTTCATTCTGCTAGAATTCTGCTAGCTGTGTGCCTGGGAATACACACCAGCAGTAGATGTATGGCACCTCTAATACTACCTCTGATGTCATCTGGGTATCTGGTTCGAACATACTGCCAAGATATGGGCAAAGGGGTTGGTGCTGAGATGTTTACAATTCTAACTAAGAAACTTCCAGGTGTGTCTCACACTCCCCCACCCTAACATTTAGTGACAACTGGAGACACAGCAGCCTGCTAATTTAGCTATCAGAGTCAGGTGTAATGGCAGGCATGTAATTGAAGGGTGTTTGAGGTGATGCTTTGTTGAGCTTTGGAATTTTCCTACTTGTTCAGGTGTAGGATATGAAATACCTTTAATTTTACATAAATGAGTCAAAATTTTGTAAAATACATATGGTTATCTTCCTTATGTTGTCTTATGACAAAGGATTGTCTTTCTGTATTGCAAGAAGTCATGCCCTTATCATCTTTCCTGGTCCTCCATCGTCATGAATTCTACCCCTTGTTTCCAGGTATATAGTGAAATGCATGTGTCAAGTTGGTTCTGACAGTTTGAAACTGAGAGGCATGCCTGCCTTAAACTAGAACCACACAACTTAATGACATCCTGTGAGCATGAGGCGGTGTTACAACTTCTCCTATCTACTTCCTCATTTGGAAAGCAGGGTCACAATTCCCATAAAGCCTCAGTGATGAAGAAGATTATGTAAATGTCAGAGGACAACCATCTATATATTTGCAAACTACATCCTTCAATGAAGAGATGTGTTTGTTTGCAAAAACTGAAAATGCCTTTCTGATAAAGATCTGATTACTAGCAGTTTTCACTGAAGCTTTCCAAACCAATACTAAGAGCAAATGCTTTCTGCTGGCCTTGTTGAAACTAGCATGTGAAACTAGCAATTAGGAATCTGCCCTAGGAAATATTAAAACAGCTCTGGACTCCTACTGAGGAGCACAGTTACAACATTTTGTCAGCAAATGGATGTCTTCAGTCACCTTTGACTTTATGACTGGATACTGCCTTCTGTTTTATTACTGTCTTCTGAAGTTGATCTGTACAAAAGAGATAGGATTGTTTTCAGGGTTATAAACATTGTCATTAAGAAAAAAAAATCACAAAAAAATGCCAAAAGCCAGATTTGAACTAAATGATCAATTGCTGTCTGTCTATACCTTTTTTTGCCAATGACAGTTAATGATAAGACATTCCAGTGTTTTGTCTTTCAAAATCCTAACTTTCAAAGACTTTATGTGCTTTTCTAGGTTATTATTTATGTATTTGTTTATATCTTTGGATTTCAAAACTAACAGTCTAACCACTAGGCCCTTCTATCTTGTCTACATGGAAATTGATGACATATTAAAATAACCATCAAAGCAGTTGTTAATATTTATATACGTCTACATGTATATCTTCAAATTCTTACCCCCCTCTAGATTTTTTCCACCTAGTAGCTATGCATAATTATTTAGATGGATTTACCTTCATTAATAAGGCTTCCAATAGATCTTTTAACTACATTTAGCAACATTAGTGGTATTAGAGAATCTCTTGATTCCTTATAACACTCGTGGATAATACACTGGGCAGGTCATTATAATGGTCAAGGACCTCCCAGGCCACGTATGGTGGCATCAGGTTTGAAAACCTAACCAGGGACCATCAATCCAAGTAGAGCACAGGTCACTTTAGGCGATTTTTGCAAACTTCTTTACTGCTCTGTCTGGAGAATATGACCTAATAGGTTGTGAGCATGGACAGGTGTTTGGATATCTGTTTGCAAAGGAATCAAAGATTGGCCCCAATGTGCCAGTCAAGAGTGGGCACAGCAATCACCATCCATGGAGTGCTTGAGAGCAACACTCTGTGTCTCAGCTCCATTTCAGGTTGGCTTCTTGCTAACCTGAAACCACCTATATTTCTAAATCTCATGCTGCTTTGACATGGTTTTGTCATTATTCTGAAACCATGATTCCTTACTGTGGCATTTTTTGCCAGCAGTCAAAATTTCTGGTAATTATCCAGATTTTCCCAAAATGTCCCAATAGTGCAGGAATCTTTATGCCAGTTGTTATGTAATTTGGTGACTCAAAACAATTTGATTATTTTGTAGATGTCTCCATAAATCATCAGGAACATTGCCCTGACTTTAAAGAGTGTCTGCCAGCTCCTTGCCTAATTTGAGAACTAGAGATGGTTTTGGAAATGAGGCATCATTGTTTTCTTACAGGTCAGGACTACAAGACCCCCTATTTACCCTTGCATCAGCATTCCAATTTCTCTGAATCCCCATGAAGCAAAGTGTAGCTTGCACTGATATTACGACTGAAACAGAAGCTGCACAACACCCTAGTTGCAGTTTAGAAACACACAAGTGATAATTAACGTGTTCACATTCTGTAGCAATGCTACCAGCCTTGCTCTGCCTTGTTCATCACGCTCACTTTTCTTGCCTTCTACATGTGCTATTTGCAGATGTGCTTCCAATTTGTCTCTATTGATTCCCTGAGTGTAAAAAGGACTTGCAATGTGAAGACACTTGGCTTGCCTGGGAAATTTCCATTTGAAAAGTCCTGAGGATTTATTGGATTGCTCCAAGTGTCTTTGGCACATGAGGACATGAAAGGCTGCTCATCAGAAAATTGAAATAAGCTTTGGTATATCCTGAAAACCTTTTGCTCAGTAGTTCTAGTAATTTTTACAATCAACCATTTATCCAAAAAGCCATACTTACATTACTTAGCTGGGTTCAGATACTGCCATATAGTGCATTTTTGATATTAACATGTATACTTACCCTCCACTTATAGCCTCTTCCTTCTGCCAGAAACTGTGTGTGCTATTCCGCTTGACAACAATGATAGTGGTCATGATGAGGAAAGGTAGAAAAACATAGAAACTAATCAGAAGTCCCCTTTTATAGCGAGTATCACGCCGCTTGACAACCAAAGGTGTGCTTCTGTCTGAAATTCAAAAGAGCCATTTAGCTTTTCAAAAATTGTGATTGATGCAGACCAGTGAGTGATCTGAATTACTTTGTTTTGTCCTCTATGACTCCTCGGTGTTACTTTTTAAAATATTGTCTCATTTTGAATTAATTCTTATGTATAGTATATGAATTCCATCATTCTTTTACATGTAACTATTTGGACTCTTAAACCAGAGAGATAAACAACACATATTTTAGCAAGAAAAATGATGTTGCCTGAAGCTATTTTTTAAAAAAAATTTTCAGCCTTGGATTTAATTGTTCGTAGTTTTAAAACATTCTGTTGTTTGACAACTGTTTTGTTTTTGAGCCTTTTCAACTCCATTCTCTCAAAGTGGGTAGTTAAAAACTTCCAATCAGTGGCCTAGACTCTTAGGATTCTCAACACAGAATCCTAAGGAACCATGAAAAAGCCAGGTGTGAAAATCATTACTAATTCCATAGTGATGGAGTCTGATGAGTGTGCATTAGATAAATTCCCAAGGAAACAATACAAAAGAAAAAGAAAATAAGAGTAGAAACATGAGGATGATCAATGAGGCCAAGGTTCTGGGGAAGTAAGAGGCTGTTGAGTTAGTTCCTAGTCCTAAAAAGGACATCTATATCAAGACCTGCCCTCAACACTCAGAGAAGACTGGGCAGAAAGAATGGAAGAGCCAGAGGCCAGAGGATGGGGAGAATGTGCTGAGGTGCCCTCTTCTGGGTCTGGAGTGACTCACTGTGACTATGGTTACCTGCATAAACCCTTGACAAGATCAGTCAGTAATCCAGAACTCAGTGCTTCTTGGATTCAGTTGCTTGCAATAAAAAGAATCCAAGTAAAACAGAAGGTGGCCCAGTGTTGGTAGGTAGAGACTGGCCAGCCAGCCTAGCCAAAGTGGAGAGAGCTCCAGGTTCAGTGACAGTCACCATCTCAAAAAATAAGGCAGAGAGCAACAAAAGACTGGGCCCAAGGCCCTGCTCTGTTCTGTGCATGAATGTTTACAGACATGTACATACACATACACCATAAAATTTTTACAATTTTTTAAAGATATGCTATATCAAAAGTCTTATGCACTTTTGTATTTAAAGTCCTACACATCTGAGAAATCTTTATCTGTATAGCTATAGCCTTAAATACCTAAGAATTGAAGAAAAATAAAATCAGTGAGAATAAGATTTGATTTGCTAAATCTAGAAATGAAACTGACATAAATGACACAGATTAAGATAAATTAATAGATTAGAATACTAAAACTATAATATACAACATCAACAATGTAACAATTAATGTAATTTTTGTCAACAAAATATTTCCTTAAATTAAGAAAGTAAATCTTTCTCTAGTTCATCCACTAAGAAAAAATCCATCCTATTTGGTTGAGGCAGTGCATTTTAACAGCTTTCCTGAGACATTTTTCTTACTTTAATCTTACAGTCTGTAGCTCCTTTTGCACCAAGCTCCTATAGTAAGTTACTTATACATATAATTAATTATAAATAAAATGGATACATTGGCTCCACACAGCTAGTGTATATGGCAGCATAGAATGCTAAGTTGTAGAGAACAGATCTGATAAAGTCAACTGGGCAGTGGTTGTTCATGACTTTCTGCCAAATGCATTTTAAAGTGTTTTAGTGGCATATGGTATTCACGATCTGAGGGTATAGAAGATTTGGGTACTTTCTACATTAAATAGAACAATTGATTTTTAACATGCCAGGGCTGAAGAGATGGCTCAGTGGGTAGGCAGTTAATGTTCTTCTAGAGGACCTGAATTAGCTTCTCAGCACCAACACTGGGCCACTCACCATTAGGCCTATAACTCCAGATCCAGGGAATCTGATTTCTTCTTCTGGTTATCTCAGGCATCCCCAAACTCATTCTTCTCTCCCCACCTCACATGCATGCATGTGCAAGCACACACACACTATGCATGCATGTGCACACACACAGTTTTTAAACATGCAACTCAGCTGTAAACCAGCACATTTTTACATATAACTCCCTGGGGCAATACAGACTGTAGTAAGTTCTCCTTGTTTCTGACACTCATGTTTATGCAGAAAAGCATGCTAGAAATGCTCTGCAGGCCACGACAAAAATCAGAGGAAGAAGGCCTGTTAAATATTCACACTTCTAGATTAGATTTAAAATAGCCTCATGTGATTCTGTGAATTTAAGTGAAGTCAAGCAGAGTAGAAATATCAACTTCTCAGTTGTTCTCCTGAAATTTCAAGTCTTCAATGGCCACATCGAGCTGCTGAGATGGAGTGTACTTACACACATGCAGGCCCTGCTCTAGACACTAACCCAGGGGCAGCCAAAATCCATCATCTAAGCTCCCTCCTGGAGATGAAGGTGTCATGTCACACTCCGGAGGGGCAAAGCCAGGTTCACAGTGACAGTGGTCTCGATTGTTGCAAACCTGAAACCAGATCCAAATGAAAACTGAGCAACCAAGTGCTTATATATGTATATGCAGAGAAGTCATTTATTATCCATAATTAGTATGTGCAAATTGATGAAATATTGCAATTATTTTAAACAGTTTTAATATGAAAGTAAAGACAGTAATGATCCAATAAATGTGCTTGCATTAAGTTTTTAAAAATCCTATCTTTTTGTGGGTCATGTTTCTAAATAGAAGTTATAATGTTCTTGGTATAATTGAAATGACTAGTTAGAAAGATAAAGCTACTATGAAGAATATAAATTACATTTTATTATTAATTTAGACAAAAAAAAGCTCTGATGGGAGAACACATCTATGGAAGATGAAAGAAAATTCTTCGAAGAAACCAGTGTGCCAAAGGCAAATATTAACTCATACAGAAGGCTGGAAAGACTCTTGCAAAAACAAAAAGGAGGGTCAGGAGCAGAGAGGGGACTCCAGAGTCATCGCCACAGAAAGTGAAATGAGTTAAACTAGATGAATTCCAATTTGATTGTTATAAAGAGCAAGGGTTTTGAAGAAGACACTGGTACATTTTAAGCAAATGCAAGCTGGGAAAACTTCCAAACTCCCATAACTCACCATATAATTTCACAACAGCTGGGAAGGTAGAACTGAAACACTAAGTGACAAAATAGGTGCCATTAGCAATGCATTCAGCATGCTGGAATCGATCAGTCTCACCAGAATATTAAGAAATGTAGGTTCTCATACTCTCATGCCTGCTGTGTGGGTACAAAACTCCCAGTATTTCTCAAAGAGAATGGAAATATTACCTATATTTGGCTTATTAGATTTCATTGCTTATAATCTGGGGAGATGGAGTACTTTGAACATACAATAACTGTTTTCTTTTTCTTTTTTTAGTATTCCTATTAGTTATATGTTATTTGAAAGGCTATCAGTGTGTGAATTTACAAAAGCAATTAACTGAGGTTATTGATAGACAGACCTAGTCTTAACAGACAAGAAACTCTGATGTCTTAAAATAAAGTGTCTGAGAGCACACAGATACATGGGTGCACCATATATGTGTGGTGCTTGATAATACTTGGCTATATGTTAATAATCAAACATGGTGACAATATTTTACACTGTGGTTTTTTGTATCATTCAGAGCTTCATTGTTCAGTTGGCCTGTGACCGTCTAATGGTGCATACAAATTGTGTACGCCTGTGTCAATAGTACAATCTACATTCCTAGTTTAACTGAAATTTTCTGGAGGGATCTTCCACATCAAATAATTCTGAACCTGGTGATTCTGGAAAAGGTTTTTTGAAGTGAATTGAAATGATCATATTAAATGAAAAACAAAATGGCTACATACCCCTTGTCCTTGGCACTTCACATCTGAGTTACATTTCCTCTGAGTCCCTTGCAAGTGGTGCACACTATAGCATTTTGATCGAACACAAGCCTGAAAAGCATAGTCAAGCTAAAAATGCTGAAGTTAAGCAACAGCAGAAACTTTAAGTGCAGAGTCTAGGTGTGGCATTACATTCGATACAATACGTGTGTACTGGGATAACATGGTGCAGGCAAGAGTCATAATTGCCTTATTAAAAGAATTTTTAAAATGAAACTTAAAAAGAGAAATTGTTTTATATTTTGTACATGCTCTAAGTTATTTGACCAACCTATAATTGCCATTTATTGTGTCTTGATTTTTTTCCATGCCACTATATATTTCTTAATAGCTAAAAATTAGTTAAACACCATTCTATTAGAGAGTCTACTACTATTAGAATAGAAAAGGAACTGGTAAGAATAATTGAATCTCTGGCCTGGGTGGAGAAGTATCATTCCAGATGACTGGAGCCATTGCTTGGCCGAGAATCATCCTAAGAAGGGTGAGTCACCTTAAGGCACATGAAGGAAACTGGTGGAGTACTGTTTCCTATAATGAGATAGAGAACTTTTCCTTGCCAGGATCCCAGCCCCTGGCTCATTAACCTACCTGCTACAGCCATGTAGAGTTTTAAGTCTTCCTGATTTTCAGAATTGATGTTTCCCTTTCTTCTTTCTCTCTTCTAAGCATGTTTTCCTCAACACACTGGCTTCCTCCTTTCTGTAAAGCTTTGTCCTTGCTGCCATGCACCGTTTGTCTGACCATCTAGCATAGATGGCATGGAAATCCTTCCTTCCCTGCGCCCTTGAAGTCTGGCACCTTGCCTGCCCTGTGGTTTATCTTTTCAATGCTAATAAAAATTTTTCTTGAGCTTTCATTTGAGCCCTTCTTAAATTCTTTTATTAGCAAGACTAAGAATCCCAATTGGAGGAGACCCTGATTTACCCTGTATCATCTGGCTACCACAAAGGGACTCGACCAAAATTCAAGTAACAAGACAATACATCATTTACTTGATATTTACTGAAGAACAAACAAGTTAGACATTAATGCTCCTAACATGTATGCTTTGTCTCATCAGTTCTTATTTTACACTGCATGTACACATACACATCAGTTGTACTCTCTCTGGTATCATCAAATATTCTGACACCATCTAGGTATCCTGCAAATCAATTAAATTCTGACATTACATCTGTGGATGAGAATCCTGGAAAGAAGCTGTGCCTACAAAACTGATTGGCTGATTAGAATTGCGGTGATGTGAAGATTTTGGGAAGTTGTTGTCCTAGAGCCTCATTGGCTTGACTTGGGCTAGCTTTATCCTTGTCTCTGTGTTGGAATTAACATCCTGTAACTAACAGATAAAACCCTTTTGAAATCTATTAGCTTAGCAGGACTTCAGCTTCCACTGACCTCAAAGCTAAGAATGCCTCTCTGACGTATCCACCATTTAAAATTCCTTTAATTCATTACTTTCTTTGTTCTGTTGCTACAAAACTCCACGAGACTGCTTCCAAGTGGGAACATGGAAGATGAGATAACCAGAGACAAACAGCACAGTGAGAGAATCAGAGTGTGGAGGAGGAGGTTCTTCTTACACCTTTTGAGGTGGGAGGAGGTTCCCAGCAAAGACCTCTGGCCAGGATCCCTGAGGCTCAGGCAGGGGAAGTGAGTGGAGAACAAGATGCGCCACACTTCTGATGTAGATTCATGCATGGCCCAGCTGAGTGTAACATTGGCAAAATTTTCAGCTTGGGACTCACAATGCCCCACCCAAGAGGGAGTCAGCCTGTCAGTGTCTGGTAGCAGAAGCCTGAGCCACAGGGTGGCTACTAACACCATGTTCTTACAGTATCTACTTGATCCCACAAAATCAAAGACTCAGTCCTTCAAGGCTTTGCATATGGCAGATGACAATCTCAAGTCCCGGGTGACATGTGCTCCTGGCCAACTGCATATAGAAGGGGAGTTCCCTAATTCCCTCTGAGGGGGCTCAAAGACTTCAGAGCAAACACTTTGCTTTCATTTGAGAGTTCTTATTAAATCACACCATCCAGGAACAGACAAAGGTTGGGGCCTCTCAGGGTGAGGAATTCGAGGTGAGGTAAAAGAACACTATTCTGCCCTGGAGTGTCACTTCCCACGTGAAGGTGCCTAATTGCACAGTTAGACAGTCTTCCTCCAAGAGTAGTCCCTGGATCAGTTCCCTGCCAGAAAGCCAGCAGCTGAAGCTCAAAGTCCCACTCCTCAATTATTGGATATTTAGTCAATGTAACCCATCCTATCCTGTACTGGGGTGTACAGGGGTCTGAGGCTCAGTCTTTCTGCTCACCTCAGGATGGAAACAACTAGAAACCTCAGGTGTGACTGAAGGGCTTAATATGAGCCATTGAGGACATGACTGTCACTCTGGGATTTACAGAGAAGATGAGGCCATAGCATACAGATAAAAACCAAATATAATTTTTGCATTTAAATTTTCATTTTTTTGTATTTATAACTTTAATATTCATATTAAATATTTTTGGTTTTTAAAGGTGTTCTTACACCAGGATGCTCCTTTGTGATTATTTTTTTTAACCTTTTCTATCTTAATTCTTTTACTAATTTGCATTTTTCTCTTGGTCTTTCATTTATGTTTTCTTTATTTTTTTTTTTACATCCTAGCTGCAG